CAAATTCTTTCTAAAATGAGAATTTAACATTCTTAAGTTAAAAGAAATATTTTACCATAGTAAAAGTATTACGTTACCTAAATTTATCTAGTTAATGCGGTAAAACTCTTTAATTCTCAACATTTATAATTTTTTTTTAAAAATATTTATAATTAATCAAATAAATTTAGTCATTCTTAAAAATCATGATTTTTGGAATTTATGATTTTTAAGAAGTATGATTTTTGAACGTGAAAAAAATGTATCTTCTACTAAACACCTGCTTATTTTTATTATTATTTTTTTCCTTTCAAAAATTATAATTAATGAGTATTATACTTCAGAATTAACACATGTTTTTAGTTTCTTTTTTCCGGTATTTTCTTAACTATTGTTAACAACTGAGCAGGATTTTTAACTATTATCAATTATTAGAACTTTTGAGTTTTGATTGGATAGGTTTATATATCGAAGGTTATTTAATGAATTTGGAGCTCTTAGGGCATATGAATTGGTTTAGGAAATCAATTTATCTCTATAAAAAATGAAGAGAATTTTAAATCTAAGATATATTGTCATCAATTAGATATATTATCATCAAAAATTAATTGTTGATGTCATAATTTTTGTAACATGAAATGTGAAACGGATCAAATTATTTTATTTTAAGAGTAATTCTTGATAAAAATTAATTCATTCAATAATTTATAACATATATTAAATTTTAACGATCTAATTATTAAATAATTTTTTTTAATAAATAGATTAAGTTTACAAAAATTTTAAAATTAAATATTTTATTTTATTAATTCAAATTGACAAATATTAATAAAATTATTTTATATATTAATTTAAATTTATATACAAAGTATTAATATGATTTTTAAATTTTTAAAAATTTTATGAATTTGATCTATATATTAATAAATTTTGATTTAATAATTAAATCAATAAAATTTAACATATATCACAAGTTATTGAATTAAATAATTTTACCAAAAGTTATTCTTGAAATAATTTGATTTCTCTCTTTCACCATGTATATGCAGGGACGGAGCCAGGATTTCAATACTGGGGGTGCCATATAGGGGGTGCCATATAGTAATATACATATGAGTTTATATTAAAAATATGAGTTTATATTAAAAATAGGGGGTGCCATATAGTAATATATATGTATATAAAAAAAAATTAAAATTGTTGGGGGGGCCGTGGCACCCGTAGGTCCCCCCTTGGCTCCGTCCTTGTGTATATGGTAACAATTAATTTCTTTCATAATCTATGATTTATCACTAATTTCATGTCCAACACATTATTATAACCTATAATTTCAAGACATTAATTACGTTTATGGATCATTCGCTTTTATAGTTCTCTTATAATCTATGCTTTATCATTGTAAAATTTCATCAGCACACTTAATTTATATTATAACACTGATTCCTAATCATGGTGAAATATGGTAAAGTCTTCTTTGGGTGTTTCACTGTAGGAGACAAAAATTGTGCTCGCAAAACCATTAACACTTGAAAACCAATCAGATTCCGATGCGAATTATGAAGGTCCAAATATTCTGCAGCGCATACTAAGTCTCTTTAAGAACATTCGGCAAGAATCTGATCTCTCAAGCTTCAAGGCAAGTTTAGCTTTACTACTTGACCTGAAAACATAAATTCAATGAAGTAAATGTTATTTAATATTCTTAAATAAAAAATATTTCAATAAATAAAAATATTATCTGCTATATTATAGTTAAGAATATTTTAATAAATACAGTGCCCTTGAAGCATGGGTTGTTAGGTCCATATTTTTCATCAAAATTCATAAACCAAAGGAAATTATATTTGATGCATATTGAATCTGTATTATTCCACGCAGCTTCCACCTGCGTTCAATATGCCAAAGTCACAACTAGAGTGTTATGCAGAATCTGTATATTGCACAACATCAAACTTTCTAAGCAGAATCAACAGTGGCAAGACAGCGTTGGATAGATTCATATCTGTTGTAGCATGGAGCATTTCTACCACACGCCCTTTAAGGTTTGGAGTGGCTCCCTACAATCCCACACTTGGTGAAACTCACCATGTTTCTAAAGGAAACCTTAATGTCTTACTCGAGCAGGTACTCACTATGTTTTTTCATTCTCATTTTGGGCTCAACATGCTTAAATACTTAAACACGTCATGGACACAAATTTGTAGTGCACGTACCCTTTTCTGTTTTTCCGAAGATAATTGTATTATAGTATATTTACATGCATGCTTTGTTTTCAGGTTTCACACCACCCTCCCGTATCTGCCCTCCATGCCACTGATGACAAGGAAAACATAGAAATGACATGGTGCCACTTTCCGGTTTCAAAGTTCTATGGTGAAAATTTTCAGCACATATGTAGTCATAAATTAAATAAAAATATCTAGATAGACAGTATCAATTGATCACACCAGGTGTCAAGCATATTTCTTGTTTTTGCCTCAATTGATGATTTGGGACATTATGGATGTAATGTTCGGTTACTTGAAACTTTGAATTGTAATTAAACTTACTTATGCATAACAAAACCAAATATGCAGGTACTTCAATAGAAACTAAGGTGCATGGCAAACGACAGTTGAAGCTCCATAATCATGGAGAGACGTATGAAATGAATTCTCCAAGCTTGGTTATCAAAATTCTTCCTATCCCTCGGACTGATTGGGTTGGCAATGTCGGTGTCAAGTGCCTAGAAACAGGCCTTGTGGCAGAATTAAGCTACATAAGCCAATCTTTCTTTGGATTCGGGGCAGGTCAAAGACTTGTTAAAGGGAAAATCTTTGATTCACTGTCTATGAAGATTCTATACAAAATTGAAGGTCATTGGGATAGCTATCTCACTTAAAAGTTTTATTAATTACCTGTGTCATCTGAAAGCATATCTTTTGCTTGCATTTTTTATATTGTAAAAACCAGTTCTTGCCAGTTGTTTACTCATAATATTTCGGTGATGTGATCCTAATCCCACAAAATGTTGCAGTACTGTAACATTGAAGAATACAAGTACTGCAGAAGTAAGAGTGATATATGATGCAAGACAAGTTATTTATGGGCTTCAAACTCCTATTGTCAAGGATCCAGAGGTAATTAATAACTATATTTCACTTGTTTGTGTTGGTTTCAAATCTCTCTTTTTTTTTTCTATGATCATATTTATTATCCCCTGTATGAAGTCAAGGATCAAAAGGAAGTATGTTGAGTCATACAAGTATGCAACACTCTTAGTAACAAAGCATTTTTCAAATAACTATAATTAATTAGGATTTCAAAATGTGAAGGTGTACATGTTTTCTTGAATTTGATATGGGATTGTGTCGTACATTATCAGAGTGTGTGGCCAACAGAAACAGCTCTTGTTTGGGGTGAGTTGAGCCAAGCCATTTTGAGCAAAGACTAGGAAAAAGCTAGAGATGCAAAGAAAATTGTGGAGGAAAGACAGAGGGAGCTCCTGGGAGAAAGAGAGTCAAAAGGGGAAAATTGGGTTCCTAAACACTTCATGGTGTCTTATACCAAAGAAGAGGGTTGGGATTGTTCACCAATTCAAAAGTGGGTTCCAAATGCCCCTATCGTTGCCTTGTAAGTTTCAAAGTTGTATCTGAATGTTTTAAAATTGTTACTGTTATTAGAATAATGACTCCACTGTTAGCAGTATTTCTATATGTACAAAAATTCATAAAGTGAATCTTATCCTATCAAAGTTGCCACGTGTTGTTTGTGAATTCTGGTCATATACTCATGAGTCATAAGCAGGAAAAGGAATCATCCAAGTTGTTTCCATCAATTTCATGAATCAATTCTCTCCCATCATTTGCACTACAAAAAGAAAGGCTTAAGATGTTTAGGAGGGCTAAAGGCCCAAAACAACAAAAATTACAAGCTAGCAAATCTGGAAAACATGGAGCCCAGTATCAGTATTACGCCCCAAACTACTCATACTGTCGGCTACTATTTTTTTATTTTTATTTTTAAATAACCATGATATGGTATGAAATTTGTATTATTCTATCACTAAAAGCAATACGTTAGTGGCTAATTTTTGTTAGAGATTGTGTGAACATAATGAGTATTTCTTTTTTAACATAATCTATTTTATAATTAAAATTAAGATTTAAACTACTGATAATTTGGTTTAAAGATACAATCTACTAATACTTGTGTCAATTAGTATTGATATTTACTATGTTTCTAATTATGAAATCCTTTCAATTAAATTACACAATTTAAGAAAAGTAGTTAATTTAGTTAAGAATATTAAATTTGTCAATAATTTAAATTATTTTTTCAAAATTACCCTTAACATCTCTTAAATTAACTTTCTCTCTTTTCACTTAATCATTTATTACCTAATTAATTAATATTTGAAAGAGAGATGCGTCTATTTATCTTCACCAATTCTCATAAGAGATAAAAAAAATTACCCAATTAATTTCAAGCATTTATTGTCTTTTGTCTAAAAGAATCGTTAATTAAATAAGGATATTTTAGAGAAGATATAATTAACGCAACTAACATTAATTTTTAAAGTTATTATAAATTTCTTTTATACGCTTAATTAATTGTTAACTTTATTTTTTATATATATTTATTTATAACTAACATTAAATATATTAATTATTTAAAACAAATGATATCTTTGGTAAATTAATTAAAAATAATTAACTTAATTACTTTTTTGTCTTAATGATTTACTTATATTATTTATGATTAAGATCAAAATTATTATTATTGAATCTTCATTATCTGTATTTTATTTTTTAAAAGAATATATAGAAATATGCTAAAATTTAAATTTATAGCAAAGTTAATTAAAAACAATTAACTTAATTACTTTTTTCTTAATAATTTGTTGTTGTTTATAATTAAGATAATAAGTAATACTATTTAATCTGCATTATTTGTATTTTTTATTTTAAAAAATATATAGAAATATGGAGTGAATATTTTGCTCAAGTATAAAACAAATAACTAGCAGAGAAGGTTCCAAAATACTGTACTAAGTAGAGTAAGTTAAACAATCACTTATTTCTAAAATAAGTTGATATGTTTTTCATATAAAATTAAACATCTATAATCTGCAGGCCAATACGGCTAACTCTGCGACGAAACTCACTAAACCTCCAAATTCAACGAAACAAATGGGAAAAGGCCTGCAATTAAATATGCATAGTACATACTGTACCTTCCTTAAGGTGGGACACATGAACTCTCCTTTATTTCCAATACATCTTGAACCTAAGATTGCATGGAGACAAATAAACATTGCAAGATAACCTCCTAAGTCCTAACCTCACTTTCAGTTTAAATAATAGTTGGATTTGAAATCTTCAATATCCAGTGAATAATAATTCATAGGTCCAAAGAGTCGTACGTAAATACAATACGTACGTGCAGCTTAGTAGAGAATGAGATACTGAAATTAATTCTTTAAGAAAAACACTAACCACACTCTTCTTAATACTCTCTTAATTAGTACTTTTTTTTACAATCGATTAGAAATCACAAGAGACAAAATCACTAAATGAGAAGCAAATTTATACAAAATTTGTAATTTCCCATAAACTTTTTTCTGATATGCAAGCAAGCATGTCTAATTCCCCCGATAACATGAAAGGTCTTCTTGCAAATCCGACTCAGTTCTCCTATGGAGTGGCTTCTCTGTGATGGTGTCCAAGATAGGTTTCCAAGTTTGAACTCTACAAGGGATTCTTCCTTTATTCACCACACTCAAAGCACCATATTGCTCTACAACCCCAAATCTGCGAGGACTCTCGGAGGGTGAACTCCAAACTGTTGGAGTTGTTTGGCTTGACAAAGGACTTGCTTTGGCTATTGTGGTGAGTCTCTTTGCAAGGCCAGCCAAGTCCACAGGAGACACATCAGGTTGCAACACTGAGTATGGTAGCATCAAATACACTTGCCCCGGTTGGAGATGTGTGTCTCCATTCAATGATTTTGATGAAGAGGATGAAAGAAGCTGAGTGGAGGTGCAAACAAAGTGGTTTGAGGGGTATCCAATTACTTCCCTAGCTGAAATGGTTTGCTCAAAGTACTCTACATAACCATTGAGATGAACCACACGGATGTTCTTGAATGTGGAGGATGAGTTGCAAGACAAACAAGCCCCCATCTCTCTCTTGGTGTGAATGCTGAATGAAGAAAAGGAAGTAGTGAAAACTGATGAATGCCTATGGTCCTATATTTATTAGTATATATACTTGATATTATAGTGTGTGTGTGTGTGAATAGGTACATAATGAACAAATGGGGTTTGACTTTTGATGAATTAATGGAGAATGGATAAGTGAATATTTATTAAGCCTTTTTGGAAATGAAAAATTATTGATGTGGTTACCTAAAACCTGCTTTTTTTCTGACCAAGTTGTTTGCATTAATTCAACTTGTTGCATCATTGACACAAAAGGCTAGGATGCTTGATGCAATCTATACCACGGCCAAAAGTCACATGAATGATTAATTAACTACTGTGTTAATTTGAAAAACTTATCTTTAAGCATCTTTATGAAAAAAAGAAATTAAACTGATATCATCTTAGGATCTATTTAGACAATATTTTCCATAAAAATCTTATAGAAAAAGAAAAAAAATTATAAACTAAGACTAGCTTATGAATAAAATAATTTTTAAGAATTTTCTACTTCTTCAAAAACTTTTTTTTTAATTTATGTATAAATTAATTTTAATTTATCAAAAATAACAATTTTATTTTTTCTATTTTTTCTTTTATAAATATTTTAAAAAAAAAGTTTATCTGAACAAATTTTATATATAAGCTAATTATAAGTTAGTTTATAGATTTTTTTTTCATATTATATTTTTTTAAAAAAAAATATTTTTAATTTATGTATAAACAAGTTTTAACTTATAATTTCTCATTCTTAATTACGATTGTAATAGAGTTGACATAAAACCAGAAAGCTTATTTGCGTTGTTTTCTAACTAGGACATTTCTTTTGTCAAAATAAATACATATAACGTGTTTAGAAAAATGAAACTAGCTAGGTAGCTCCATGGTCCCCCTCTTCCTAGCTACTTTGGCGTGCAGCTTACTTTCTTAAGCTAATGGAAGCTTAAAAGTTGAGAAAATGAAAGTCAAACCAATCAAATTGCATGCCAATAACTTAATACATGAAGAGACAACCCCAATCAATACTAATGAGCCTGCAACTTGCATTTTTAATTGCAAGTTGCAAATCTATTCTCTGTGCCTTTCTTTTTAATTTTTGATCAATTTCTTTTAAGTTGAACCCGTCACTAAATTAATTAGGCCTTATTTAAATATTAAAAAAATCCAAATAGTTATAAAAAAAATCAACATGTATTACCTCCATTCAATTATATCGTGATACATTATTGCTTTTAATTATTGATAATTTTATGTAAAAGTATTAAAATATAATTTAAAGTAACTAAATAATATATTAAATAAATGAAAGGTTAAGAAAAAAATCCTAAAGATATTATTGTTGGAAAAAAATAACTTTAAACACTATCGTTAAAAATAATTCATAGAAATAATCTCATTCAAAAAATTATTTAAACTTATATATAGAAAGAGATGTTAAGAATGATATATTATATCAATAAATTAGATTAACTTAATTTTGTTTCATAAATTATCAAGTCTAAGAAGTCTTAGTTGAGTCCAAATTTAAATAAATGATTGTACCAAAATCTTAAATAAATGATTGCATCTTGGTCAATCTCTCTTTATTTGCTCTATGTTAGAGAGGCTTCGTGCAATATAAGGTTTAGGTTATTCCAAAAATGTTTTTTCGCTTGAAAAAAATATTTTTTAATTTTAGGAAATATTATATTTATTTTATCAGTAGAATTATAATAATGACAATAAAATTCGAATCTATAATTATATACATACTATCTTAACTTCCACCGCTAAAATAATAATAGGATAAAAGAAAATAATAAAAAAAACTTCATACATGATGAGGAGAACTAAGAAGAGAGGGGCCATCTGAATATGAGGCCCTAGAAGCCAAAGGCCCAAGTTAAAGGAAGGAGATCAATAAAATGGTTTGGGAATAAATTGGGTTCGGAACCTAGTTCTATCAGGAGCTGAGACAGATAAACCAGCCTCATGAAACAAACACATAAATTAAAAAGAAGAACTGAAGATCAATCATAGCCCCAAGGTGTTGCTCGCTTGTTTGATTCTGTTGATAATCTATAGTGTTATCATTCTTTATATATTTATATATATAGAGAGAGAAATTCGTTTATTCCAAGAGTAGATCTATTTAGACTTATTCTGTTCAATAATTCATGTTCTACATCAAATTTCAATAATCTAATTGTTGAATTTAAAATTCTTCATGTATAGATCAAATCTGTAAATTTTAAAAAATTTTGAAAATAATTTGATACTTCGTTTCATTAATTCAACTCAATATATAAAATGATTTTATGATTATCTGTCAATTTGAATTAATGAAATGAAGTATCAAATGATTTTCAAAATTTTTTAAAATTTGCAAACTTGATTTATGTATTAAAAACTTTAAATTCATCAGTTAAATTGTTAAAATTTAATGTAGAACATGAGTTATTAAACAGAGTAGGTTTAGATAAACTTTCTCCTAGAGTAAACAAATCTCTTTCTCTTATATATATATATATATATATATATATTAAAAAGATTGACTCAACCCAATTTTTTGGACCAATTCTTGATCAATTTTGAGCTGATTCATTCAATTTTTATCGATTCTTTTACATAATGATTTTGTGGTTCTTCTTGATCAATAGACTAATCGGTTCTCGATTCAATCAATCGCTTGAGTCTGATTCTAACAATACAGTTAAGAACTAATTTGCATTCGTGAAATATAATTTTTGTTAACCAAACATTATTTTCAACATTTATGTTTCGTTTTGTGTATATATAATAATGACTATTAATTTTTTTTTTCTTCAGAAAATGCTCACACTAAATTAAAATCTTGGATCCGATACTATTAAAAATAATTATAATAAATTTACAAAATTGACTAGTAAATTTTGTAAGTTATCTCACCGTCATATAAATATAGTTATTTTAATAGTAGGAGGTTTGAATAAAAATAGTATATTTTAATACATATTAGGTTTGTTTGTTCAACTTTTTTTTATATATATAAAATGTATATTTTTAAATAAAATAAGCATATTTTTATTTTTGAATATGTTTGTCTAAATTTCTTTTGTAACACCGTGAGTTTTTAGTATTTTATTTTAATTATGTGAAAATATTGTTGGTTGTTGTTAGTAATGTTTTCTTAGAACTTTAGTCGAGAAACTCTCTGAAAATTAAGTTGATTTTTTAGGTAGTTGAGTCATTAATAAATTGGGCCAGTTTTAAGAAGAGTAGATAAGAGTTTTCTTAAGACGCGAGCTCATATAATTCCACATTTTAGAAAACTCTAGAGAAAAGTTAGAGAAAAACTCTTTGGAAACTCAAAATCATCTCCATCTCTTCTTTTCTGGAAATCTTCCCACTCTTCTTCCTTGTAGTTGAATTAATTGGCCGACTTGGAGGTTAAAGATTGTGGAGCTAAGATCCCGCTTCGAAGTAACTCCCCTTCTTCCTCTTCTTGGTTTGGATGAATAAGAGGTAGGAGAAGTTTATGTTGAGTTTGTTAGATGCATGGTGGATGTTGTCTATAATCACTAAATTCATGTTGTTATTGTTGAATTTGTTGGGTTGGTGACTTATGGAGTTAGGTTTTTTCTTGAAGTGGTTGTCTGTTGAATGTGGTGATGTTTGATATTAGTGGTTGCATGTTGTAAATGTGGTTTGTTTCAAATTATTTGTGATGTCTGGATGTGTTTTTGTATAGTGAATGTTGTAAACTTGTTGAGTTACAAGTGAATTGACCCAAAATTGAGTTTTGCATAAATGCAAAACAGGTATCGTGCCAAGTGTAATTTCAGGGTGTCAAGTTTGATTTCAACTAGTGGTTTCATCACATCCATATCGGGTACAAGATTGAATGGCGCTAGAGAATCATTTCAAGTTGAAATCACAGCAGACGTCAATGGAGTGATGTTGAGCATGTGTTGTGTGGAGAACCCTACACATCAGGGTCGTGGGTTCTTGCCACACCAAGTGTTAAAGAGTGGGAGACTTTTTGCCTCAACCACGCTAGGTGCGGGTAGTTTGACGTTTGGCATTAAGCATAGACAAGACAAGGAGCCTTTTGTCTCGATGGTGTCGAATGTCCTTTACGTGGCACCGAAAGCGAGTTGCATGATGAAAAATTGTTGTTTTAAGATGTTTTGTTGTTGGATGGTGATGAATGAGTTATATGTATGGTGATGTATAATGATGAATCTATATGTTGTAAGTTAATATGTTGAATGCTGATGATTATGTTGTAGAGTTGTAAGTTGATAGATGATAAAGTTGTATAAGTTGTATGCTACTAAAGTTGTTCATGTTGTTAAAGCTATAGGCATGTATTTTAGATATGTGTCTTAGCTACGATACATAAAAACTAGAGGAAAGTAAAATATATTTTATAAATTAGAATATCTTATTGTATTGATATATGTTGCGGGGCTCTAAGAGCTTGTTGAAATCCTTCATTGAGTAAGTTGGCTTCTGAATGTGTATTTGTTTTAAGTTGTCTTCTTTAAATTTTATGTGGTATCTGTATGTTGGCAAAGTCAAAGTATACGTGTATAAAACAACTAATCAAGTAAAGTACAACGTTAGAGACTTAGTCCTAATCAAGTATCGGAAGGACATGGTACTTGGAGGATAGTCAGTGGTTTAATTCTATAGGCGACTTACTATTATAGATTAATGTCATGGTAAACTCATATCCAAAATTGGTTTACCATGACAGCAGTACTAGACTTAGTAGTTTAAGTAGTGAAACTTGATAAATCAAATTAAGTTGTTAAATAAGATCTCTTTAAAACTGAAAGTTGTCTATACCTAACATGACTATTATAGTTCAAACAATGTGATTCGATAGGGTATAGTCACTTAAACAACTCATCTTTACTGTAAGAGATCTCTTTAGTACGATGATGCATTTGTTGTATATTGTTGTATGATAACCATGTTGAGATGAAGTTGTTTAAGTTGTTATGATGTAAGTTGCATCAGTAACAAGTTGAAGTTAATGTTGTTATTATGTTGATTTAGTTAATATTGATGTTGTGCTTGTATGTTGCTTTATTTTCATAAGTTTGCCATGTGTTTTTCTTGTGTTTGGGATTGCGATAATCATACTTGACATGAGAACAAGTCAGGATTAGCTAATGACTTATATAGCGGTGGAGAGTCATGCAAATGATTATCGACTTTCTTTTGATTATTATTGCTCTGAGGCAATGATCTTGTATAGATATTTGATCAACAATTTAGTATCTATATTGTATATAGTACTTACTCTTTAATGTATATAGATATAGTTTATATGTATAGGAACCAATATACTTTTCTTTCCCTTACATATAATTGTGTGCATGAGATTATATGTTGGTTACATAATAACCCTATAATAAATGTTTTCTATCACGCAAAAATTAAACTATAATTAGTGTAATAACTTATCTAATTGTTACATTTTTTATTAAATTATTTTTTTTATAATTTTTTTAAAACACTTGTTTATAAACATTTTTTCAAATTTAAATAAATAAACTCACATCGTACACTAAAATAAATAAACAATTTAAACATATGTATGTTTGTAATAGCATAAAGTGCAATTTTAATATATTTATTTAAAAGTTAATAGTAATAATTTTTGTTTTATCTTTTTGAAACAATGTTTAGATGTTTTTTTTTTTATAAATTATATACACACTTTAAATGAAAAAAAATTGTTTAACACGTTGATTAAATTCGTTTAAAACATGAAAATTATTTATAAATGTATATTATTTAAGCCTTTTTATTTCATAAATAATTTTATACTCCATTTTAATTATATTTACACACAACAAACACACACACACACATATATATATATATATAAGATTTTAATACTAAATAACATATCTATTTATTATTGTTTCTGTTTAATCAATAAAAAAACCTATTCATTATGTTATATTGTATTTATTTGTTGAAATTTTCAAGCCCCTTATGTCATACTAATACTATTATTATAAAAAATAAAATACACCTAAATTAAGTACAATTATAAACATTATTTAAATATTGTTTTGATTTGTTTAAGAGAGGGTCTCGGTCTCACCATAAATGGGGTCTTTAGAAAAAACATTGATGGACGGAAGAGTCATGCCTGAAGCCAGAAGGAGTCAAAGGAGGACTTTTGGTTTTATAAAAATAAAAATGATTTTTAACTTTTATAATTTTATATTACACATGTTTTTAGCGTACGAATAAAGTCCTAAAATAATTTATTTAACTACTATAATCACAATTTTTCAGGGGCCATCGTTAGAATTTATCTAAGGCTAGAATTAAAAGAAAGTTTGCAAATACGTTTTTTTTACACCAAATTTGCAAATAAGTTAATAATATTTTTATGCAATGTATGCTTCCATAATGAAGCATTTCTTTTCGTAATTTATATGAAATAAATGCACCTCTATTTTTTTTAATGCATCTATTGGGTTTAAATCATAATTTAACTACTAAATCATTGGCTGAACAAATAGTTTTTATATTGATTAATTTATATTAAATGATTAAATATTAAATCTCTGAAGAATGAACAAATATTTTTCTAATTTAATTATGGTGGACCAGTTGATTATTAACAAATTTGACTTTGTTGAAAATAAAATACCCGAAGCTGCGGGTGGTCGTTGTTCCGGAAAGTTTACGTCGGAACAGGCAAACGTGACACCATAATTAGTATGTTTAAAAGTGTTTAAAAATTATTAGTATGTTATATTTATTTTTATCTATAACTTTATTTATTTTATTTTTAATTATATGTTGGTGAAAAAATTAGAATATAATATAGAAATATAATTATTTTTTTGAAAAATAAACATTAGAATAGAAGTCTTTTTTTAAATATTGTTGTAGATTATTATTATTATAAATTGAAAAAAAAATATACAAACAAAATAATTTGACATCCTTCTTATAATAAGTGTCTCTTAAGTTGTGTTACATAATTAAAAATATAGAAATTAAAGAATAAATAGACCTGTTATTTAGTACATTTATATAAAACAATACTTTTTTTTATATAATTTTTTTTATAGAAACAGTGTAACTTAACTCAGTATATTTATTTAACAATGGACTACAATAGTTAAATAATAAATCGATGACTAAAACACATTATATTTAAATATAATAAACATTTTTAATTAAACATTAGTATATTTATTTTCTAAATTAATAATTAAAGATGCTTATTAACTTTAATGAAACAAATATTTTTGATACACCAAAGTAAAAAAGAAACATTCGCTATTAAAAATGTTTAATTTATATGTGTTGTAAAAAAGTGCTATTGTCAAATTTTTTTATTTTATTTTTTTATATAGGCATGTGATAGAAATTTCACCTTCACATTATATTAATATATACGATGGTATGACAATAAAAATCGATGCATTTCATGTCTTTATTAAAGATAAAATAAAATAAAAATTAAGTAATAAATATAAAAGTTAATTTAATTTTAAGGTCTTGATTTTGAGAAAAATATTATTTTAAAATTTTTTTAAAATAAAAGAGTATAATGGTCAACAAAATATGGTGACTAAGGTGGTTACTAAAAGAAATATCCCCTTTATATATTAGTATAGATATATATATATATATATATATATATATATATATTTAGTAATATGAATAAATTAAAGTATGAAAAATATTTATTATGCTTTTTATTTTAGAAATTTTAAGTATTTTCTATGGCAGCGAAATTCTCAATCTAAAAATTTATTGTAACTTTGTGTATTTCAAGAAAAAGTGAGTTTGAAATATATTTTTTTTGGATAAAAATAGAAAAGATTATAAAGATGATTATAACGAAGATTGAACCTAGATTCTTATACTTCTAAGTATCTCAATCCCTTTTCACTTAACCATCAAGGTTAGTTTAATAGTTAAGTTTATAATATTTTTAGACTTAAATATATTATAATCTTTATAAAATCAAAGATTTGATTTTAACTTGTATAATTTTTTTCACATAAAATATTTTTTTTATATATTTTATTATCATCCTCTCAAAATATGAAATAATTAATTTTGTTTTTAATTTTTATTTTAATATAGATAAATAATATTTTTTAAGCAATTTAAATATTTTTTAGAAATGTATTTTTAGAAGAGTTTCTTTAAAAATGTTATAACACTAATAAGTGATAAGTATATTTACTCGATCTTTTATTCAATATATAAGTAATTAATAAGTGTTATAAAATAATAAGAATTTTTAATTTTAGAAATATGAAAAATAAACGATCTTTTTTTTTATTTATAAAAAACCGAAATGAAAGTTCATTCATTTTATCCAAATTAAAAACATATTTAAGATTTGCTTTTTAATGAATGAATTAAAGTGAAGTAATAACTTAAAATGACACTTGATAAAATTGCATTAAATAAGAGAAGCGATTAAAATAGAGGAGTTAAAAATGATTAAACGTTTGTTTTATGGTCATAAATGAAATTATGAAAAGTAAATTGAATAAAAAAAAAAAAGAGAATATTTAAAGAAAGAAAAACCAAGGAATGGTAATTTGGATGAGCGAAAGGCAAAGCAATGTTGTGTTTCTTAATTCTTCGCACAGAAACTCTATTTTCCCCTTTCTTTTTAAATTAAATTATTCTTTTCCTTTCAGAATTCACACTCTTATCTTATGATTCTTCTTCCCTTTGCCCTATATTAGATCCTTCTCTTCCAATCATTACATTTCATTTACCTTAATCCTCTTTCCTCGCTTCACCATTATTTCCGGTACACACTCTCTCTCTCTTGATTTGAAATTATCGTTAGGGGTTTAAGGATGAAGATAATACACACCAGGGAACACTTTTATTATTTTCTTTTTCTTTTTCTTTCTCGTGTCAATTAGGTGAGATTATTCAGTGTCTTGCAAGTTATTTTCAATATTCACTCTCTGTTACCAAACAGGGGTTTGGATATCTCTTTGATTTTGACCGCTTGGTTGTTAGGTTCCACCGATATTTGAATTTTAAGCTTAACTTTTGATATATTTTTTTTTAATATTTTCGTTAAGATTAAGGTTGTTTTAGTTGTTGGGATACTCCGAATAGATTGGTCCCTACTCCTGCCGTCTTGTTAAACCTTTTCAAGATACTCTCTTTTATCAATAATTAATTGCTCCAGTTTTCGCGTGTTTCGTTCTTCGTATTCTTGTTTTCCGGAACATTTGTCCTTGTTATTTAACGTTGCCAAATAATTTAGTATAATTAAAAGAAAGGGTAGGTGGATGATGTCTTGCCGTCTATCTTTCTTTTGATTATATCTTGAGGGTTGTTATTCATTTGCTTGGTGTATAGTTGAGTGGATAAAAAGGGTGACTTCAAGACTTGTTTATTGTTTTGCTTATACACTTTGTTTTTGTTGTTGCTTGTTTTCAGAATTTTCTGCATCAATCCATTCGAGTTCATCCTAGGGTGTCCGCCCTTGAGTTTTTGTGGATTTGAGTGAGGGTGTATGTGGAGGAATAAGAGGTTTACTAGAGGGGGAACTGTGATGCATTTGCATAGATGAAGGCAGAAAAGGTTTGGCGTTTAGGCATGGGTGATGTGCACATACTGCCTGGCTCTCGCCACCGTGCTCCCATGAGGAAGCCGATGTGGATTATTGTCTTGGTGTTATTTGTATGTGTTTTTCTATTATGTGCTTATATCTTCCCTCCTCAAAGCAGTTCGGCCTGTTACCTATTCTCTTCAAGAGGGTGCAAGGGTTTTGTTGATTGGCTTCCTCCGGCTCCCGCAAGAGAATACACCGATGAGGAGATTGCATCGCGTGTTGTGATTAAGGATATTTTGAACACTCGGCCAATTGTTTCAAAAAAATCAAAAATTGCTTTCATGTTTTTGTCACCTGGCTCTCTGCCATTTGAAAAATTGTGGGACAAGTTTTTCCAGGTATAAGGGTTTTTTACTTGTCTAATTTGATGTGTTCTAGCTATTGTTTCTCAACTCTCACTTTGGGAAATTGTTAGTTTTCCTCTTTGAAATATGTTTATCACACATAATTTATCACAAAGAAGATAGCCAGTTTGATAGTTAGTTGACATCCTGCATTTTTCTTATTGGTAAGAAAAATGGCTTGTTGCATGCTCATATGACATTAAGAATTTGTCTATGATTGGAACTCCTCTATTTTTCTTTGATGATTCTTTTATTAGAAGTGACTGTTAAAAGAAACATTGTATTGTTGGATCTTGGGAGACTCTGAGAATTCCATTACTTCAGTCATAAAACTGAATCGGAGTTGTTAGCAAAAAGAGCTGCTTAATTGCTCCCTTATCTGGCACTGGTGCTTTGCACGAAAATTGTTGGTGGTCTCTCTTGCTTTTGGGGAATGATGGAGTGAAGTAAACTGTGGATTGATTTAAATAACTAAATGGTCTGTGATTTTGATTCAGTATTTTACAACTTTGCATTTGAAAGCAATGGTTAACAGGATAGATATTGCTAGTTCTTCCAACATGACGTGTTCCCTTTCTGCTGTTGAATAAAAGTTTTCTTGGACACAGTTGTGACACGAAGATAATTAATTCTTTTCCACTGCCTTGGGCACTTACCTCTAACTAAAAGTGCTATTACTTAAATGTTTCATGCTTGACTCTTGAAATTTCTGTTGGTATAGATATACAACATGATGCAAGACATGTTTTACTAATAAACTCCTCATAAATGTGTTGTAATGAACATACATCCTTAGTTTGTTTCTGTAATTTCATTGGTTGGTACGAGATTTCCTTTTCTTTTGAATTGTCATCTTGTGGTGTGCATTTGACTAGACCTTTTTGACAGGGTCATGAAGGGAGGTTCTCTGTTTATGTGCATGCATCCAAGACAAAACCAGTTCATGTGAGCCGTTATTTTGTCAATCGGGATATACGCAGTGACCCGGTACATATTTTCTTGTTATTGTTCAGTTTACCATCTTTTGTAAATTGTACTGTCTGAAATGTTAAAATATTTGTTCTCTTAAGCAAATCATACTTTACTAGTTAGCTTTTTGTTTTAAGAAAAAGTGCCTTTTTAATTAAAAGATGTGTTTAAAACATTGTAATAATCATGATTTTTTTGAACAAGCAAAAACATTAAAAAAGCTTTTTAGTGTTTTATCTCAGAAGCTAGAAAATTATAATAGTCTGTGGTTTTTTAGTAAGCAGTTCTTCTAATCAGAAGTCTTGTTGCAGGTGATTTGGGGGAAAATTTCTATGGTTGATGCAGAGAGACGGCTATTGGCAAATGCCCTTCAAGATCCTGACAACCAGCAATTTGTTCTACTGTCTGATAGGTAAATTTGTAATGAGATTGCTTTTAATTCTGTTCTTACTGATTAATTAGTTTGAGTTGAAAATGTTTTTAGTCTCTATAAATGTGACTTCATTTGATTTTGGTCTTTAATTTTTTTTCATTAGTTTTAATTAGTCCTTCTAAATTTTAAATCTTTTGAACATTGTCTGTGTCAGTCTGTCACTACTTAGTGATGATTTGACATGTATAATCATGTCACGATTGTGACTTGATTCATGCAATGTTTTCCCTAATTAGTTTTGAACATTTTAAATTTAAACTGGACTAAAATTAAAAATTTCTTTTAGGGGGACCAAAACCACATTAAATCACATATATAGGGATTAAAAATATATTTTACTCTCAGCTTTATAGGTTTTTATCAAATTCTGATTTGTTTATATTTGTTTTGCAGCTGTGTGCCTCTGTATCATTTTAACTATATTTACGACTATCTGATGTATACAAATATCAGCTTTGTAGACTGGTATGACAAGCAGTATTACATCTCTCTCTCTGGTTTTTATTGAGATCATAGCTGTTGTCTATGCTATCTATTTGACATCCGTTACTGATGTAAACTTTTCCCTTTTCTTATTAGCTTTAAGGATCCCGGTCCTCACGGTAATGGAAGGTATTCAGATCGCATGCTACCTGAAGTTGAGGTGAAGGACTTTAGAAAGGGTGCTCAGGTATATTCTTGCCAAAGTCATGTTGGAGCTTGGAATTCAACATTTTAAATTGAAATCTTGTTTATTAATATACAAAGAATTTGAAATTTGAACAAAGTATTTAAGCTACTGTATTTTACAATTGCCCCTTGCACAAGATACCAACTGGATAATTTGAAGTTGCCACTGTTTTATAAACTTGTATGATTTATGTCACTAGTTTATACTTAACACATGGCAGAATTTTGTCTTTTGTCATAAAAACTTGGTAATTGTCAATAACAAGAATAATCTTGCGTGAAATTCCTTCTATATCTATTGGTCATCCAATCAGCATCCTACAGTGATTCATTATTGTCAGATACCTATTCTTTTAAGCATTTGTTGTCTCATAGTCTGAGTCTTTGGCAACAAAGAAAACACACACATAACCCATTTATATATGTCTCTGCCTCATTGTTCAACTTATTCTGCAGTGGTTTTCTATGAAGCGGCAGCATGCAATTATAGTCATGGCTGATAGCCTGTATTATTCAAAATTCCGGTCTTACTGCCAGGTGAGTTGTTTTTAAATATCATTACCATTAATATTTAAAGCAGTTTTGTTTAATAGTTTAATCACTTTTCCATAAGTGTTGGTTGTATTTAACCATATTCAGCTCTTCTTAAGTCATCATCAAGCCAATTAAGTTTAGTATTTCATGAGGTTCAAGATTTTCAGTTTCTTATTGTGTATCTTGCTTATCCTTTACTCATTATATTTAAGCAATAACTGGACGTTTCATTTTGTTACTTGTACTTTTATTTTCTATTTAATAATTTTTCTTCAACATATGTTTGTGGAAAACTTTATGTAAGACATTATAGAAAAGTATTGCCTTTGTACAATCCTCTTTTTTCTCTTTAAATAAGGAAAACATTAATTCACTGTAGATTGCATGGCGACTGGTGTGTATACCCCTGCACATACAGGTATGAGATGCCACAGAAAAATAGAATGGGTATATGGAATGCCTAAGAGTGTTAGCACCTTCTATATTGTTTCTTTTATCTTTTTTGCTAGTGTTGCTCATGTTGTTAAGGTGATCGTATCATATATGTTCTAATAATTTAGAATTTTAAATCCCATATATGTACTGCTGGACAAACTGGACAAGATTCACCTTATTGACCCAGGGAACGTAGATATTATATGCAATATCAAGTCATCTTGTGTGCCAGTTTGTGGCTTACTTGATTAATATGCTATTTGGTCTAAAGGAGAGGGTAGGGGGAGGATTTATTGACAGGAGGGAGAGGGACACTTACTTTGGTTCACAAGGAGAGGGAAGGAGAAATAAACAAATTTACTACTATATTCTTAGAATGATCAAATAAGTTATTAAGGATAATTTAGTTCAGTTAGTGTAAAACTGTAAAAGTTTTCTTTCAAATTCCCCTGATTCTGAGGGGTAGCCAAAATTAATTGAGGAGAGGGATTTTATCTTCCTCTTCTCCCATGTCTTCCTTTCCAAAATTTTTGAATCAAACAAAATTCGTCCCCTTTCTTCCATTTTCCTCCAACCAAACACTATATGAGGTGATTGGACCATCTAGTTCCTTGTGATAATTTAGATTTAAATACCCAATATAGTCTGCTGTCCAAACTAGAAAATAAACATCTTATTGTGCTATCAATATAGAGTTGATGCGCAAATTAGCTATATGTGGTGATTTCATGGAACTATGAATTCTCTATTGATGTGAAATTTCTTATTGTCCCAGCCTGGTTTGGAGGGGCGGAATTGCATTGCTGATGAACATTACTTGCCGACCTTTCTACAGGTGAGATTTGTGTTGTTATACTGTTCTTTAGTTTTAACATTTTTCTGTTTTCAGCTAATTAGCTCATGTTTCTGGTTTAGATGGTTGATCCTGGTGGAATTGCAAACTGGTCAGTAACTCATGTTGACTGGTCTGAGAGAAAATGGCACCCAAAATCATATAGGGCTCGGGATGTTACTTTTGAGCTTTTGAAGAATATCACGGTATAGTACACTGCTAAAACCCTAACTTATACATCAATTCTTGTTCATTATTTTCAGCAAGCAACTATGTGAGGAGAGGGAGATAGCATTGTTTAGGGTAACCTCTGCCATCATCATCACATCCCAGACTTTATGTGTTTGGATATTCTAATAATAAAACTATATGCCAGTGTTTAGATAGATATTTTATGATGAAATTGAAGTTTCTATTCCATTGTTTAGATGATGAGTATAATGGTATGGAGATTACTTAATAAAAAGTTTCTTTTCCACAGTAGTAGTGTTGTTTATAAGTGTGCTGCAACTGTGCTACAGTGCTCTAGTCTCTTTCAGCTTAGCCTTGTCTTTTTTTTTCTTTTCTTTTAGTTTAGTACATGGATATTAACGACAATTGTTATATTTCAGTCCATTGATGTAAGCGTGCACGTAACCAGTGATGAGAAGGTATGGATATATATGAGCGCATTTCTGATCTGTCTGGTCTATTGAGAAATAATTAACCAGCCTGACGAATTATCTTGTGTTTCCACAGAGAGAGGTGCAAAGCTGGCCTTGTTTATGGAATGGCATTCAGAAGCCATGTTACCTATTTGCTAGGAAATTCACTCCTGAAACACTGCAAAATTTGTTGCTTCTATTTTCCAATTACTCAGCATCTTAGTGAGCTATTTTGATCGATTCTTTGGTCGGATTTCGGCCCCCTTGGTTTCTCATATGACATGAGAGTTGTAAATTGCAGCATTGTTGAGGCTTGATCGCCTGCCAGCCACAGATATTGAGTGAAGGTGAAGGAAGTGGCCTAACATGGACACAAGAGGAGGCTAACCATTTAGGGTTAACTTCCTTGGGGATGGATGGATGACTTATTTTTTTTCCTTCCATTTTACATGATCATAGATTTTGGGGGAATCATATCAACTCATTATGGTTGTTCATCTTTGTAAAACTTACATCAATTGAGTCCAAGTGTCCATTCAGAAATTCCATTGGTCCATTCTTATGCGTTCCTCAGCATTGAGCCATTTATAGATTGTGAATTGAAATTTACCTTGAGCAAGTGTAATTTTAAATAATCTTGCACTCATATTTAGTTGATAGTGTCGATTCTTCTGAATCAGCCGGCAAGCAAAACAGACGATCATATTTTCTGACGAGGTTAGAAAAAATTGAACAATGTATGATTTTTAGTGATAGTTTATAATGGAAGGAATTATATGCTTTTAAGAAGTGATTCCTAACAATTTTTAGGATTTCTGTGACCTACAACCATAGTTTTAAAAATCGGACCGGTCATCGAACCGGTTAAGGTACTGGGTCAGTGGGTCAAAGGTTGAACCGGTGGGTCACTAGTTGAACCGCATGACTCGATTTTTATTTATTTTTATTAAAAAGTATTCATATTAAATATATTTTATACTTATAAATTTTAATAAATTCATATCTTATTTTAAATTTCAATTTTTCTATCTTATTTAAAATTATTTTTATTTTTATTTTGTAAAAAAATACATAAAAAAATTACATGTTAAACGGTATATTAATACAAATTAAAAATATAAATAATATGTACATATATAATATACTTGCAATTAATATCAGAAAATAATATATGTAATATTTACATAGATATTGCATTATTAAATATATAATTTAAAATTAATAATATACTATAAAAGTTATTTAAGTTGTATATATTGCAAACAAATATATTAGAACAAGTAGTCATTGTTATATTTAATAAGACTCCTTGCTTTTTCATTAAGAGATTCAATTTTCATTATTATTTTTGTGATTTATGGTCCCTTAAAAAAATGTAAAAAAAAAAAAAAAGTGGTTGAACCGGTTTGACCCACTGGTTCACTGGTTGAACCGGAAAATTGACCAGTTCAATCCGGTTTGAAACGGGTCGACTGCATAACCGATCCAACTTCAGATTCGGACCGGATGGACCACCGATTCCCGGTCCAACCGGTCCGACCGGCCGGGTCGGTCCGGGTTTTAAAACACTGCCTACAACTGGGCCACTCTTAATTAAACAATTCTTTAGGAGTTCATGTTTTATTCGTAATCTATAGGCCCAGTTCTTGTTTAGACCAACTGAAATCAGTCTAAAAACTCTCCTAGAAGGCCATTTCCATGGCCAACAAAGTTACCCAACCATTCTCAATTCCATCGTATGACACCACCATAGCTTCATTAGCTTGTAATTTAGTTTTTTTTTAATAATAATTTATTTGTTTGCATTTCTTTTAATACTCCGCAATCAATTAGGATTTTTACTTTATACATGATTTTAAAAATAATTATTGTCAAAGCTAGCAATTTTATAATACTATAAGTATGTTGAAATTAATTTCTTATCATAAAACACTTAAATACATAGAGAAATAGATAAATGAGAGGTGTTAAATCAAAGAGTTTTTGGTACAATTATTCTTTTGTATCAATATATAATGAAGTGAGTTTTTTTACCATGATATTACCATAAGTATTTATCAGTTTCGTCAAAAATTAGTATTTATGGAGATCTTATTTATATTATAATTATCTCTCATAGTGTTATTTTTCATATCAAATCTACGATTAAAATTTGAGATTTTAAGACTTAAAGCATCAATATTAAAAAAGAATACTAAAACTTTTAAATTTATGAGAATAGACCATTGCAGCTTGAAAATGGATCTCAAAAAATTGTCTACTAACCAAACTGGATAGTTGGATTGAGCAAGCTCATGTCTTTCAAGTTTGAAGCTCGAAGGGATGTGAACTGTCCGATTAAGGATGAGTGAGTCTTTTATCTTTCAGTTTAATAACATTCGATAAATAGACCTGACCTTAGTCCTGTCACACACTGTAGACTTTTACGATGTTTCTTGAATTCTTAATAGACTTCAATAGTTTGTTTGGGTTTCAGTTAAAAAAAAAGGCAAAAGTAGGTACACTCTAATGTGGTGTTTGGCAAAAAAAAAAAAAAAAAAAAAAAAAGAGAGTAAGAAATAGAGTGGAGAAATTTTTTTTTAAAAATAGAAATATGTGAGTGAAAATAGATAAAAAAAATAGTGAAAGTTCGATTGAAAAGAAATAAGAAACAGATGAAAAATAATATTATAAATGTTTAGTAAGATAAAAAAAAAAAATAAGTGAGAATAAAATATATGAAAAAAAGAAGAAATAAATAAATAAAGAATAGAGTAAATTTTTTTTTAAAATTTAAAATATTTTTTATTTTGATCATTTAAATACAAAATTATATTATTAAGTAAATAATAGTTTGAAATAAAATAAATAGCTAATTTAAAATAAATAAATAATTTTAAAGTAATATTTTTAATTTAAAAAATAATTAAAATAATAAATTCAAATAAAATAAATAAATAAACATTTAAAATAAATAAGTAGAATTTTAAGTGTTTATTCGGACGAAAGTTTACATTTTTAAAAACATATTTAAATAAAATTTTTACTTATTTAGAATAGAATTATGTTTATTTGAACAAAAGTTTACGTTATTTAAAATAGAATTATGTTTAATCACTAGGGTTAGTCTAGTGGTTGAGTGGGGAAGGATCAGGTAATTAGAAGATAGGAAAGATTTTTAAAGATTATCGTAATGAGAATTGAATATAGGTCTCCATGTTTCTAACTGCTTCAATCCCTCCTTATCCAACTACTAGACTAACCTTAGTGGTTAAAAATTTATATTTTTGAAAAAGTATTCAAATAAAAGTTTTACTTATTTGAATAAATATTTTTTTACATGAATAATGATTTTTATTTGAATGTAAATATGTTTTATTTGAATATAAAAAGATTTTAAGTGTATATTGCTCATTTTTGTGCTAATTTACACACCTTTTTATTTTTTTTTGTTGACAAATTTCATTATCAAACAATTATAGTTATTTTTTCGCTCTTATTTCTTTGCTATCTTCTCTATTTCTAAGATGTTTGTCACGTAATAAATACGATATAAATTTTTCTTTCATATTTATCAATTTAGTTGGTTGGGAGTGCATGTTATCAACAAAACAAACACACAAAACTACCTGATTTATAGTAATGTAAAATGTCAACTTAGTTATATAATTGGACGAAAAAGAAAGGCAAGAAAACTTTTTAGCATTGTGTATTACGCCATTCCAAATTATGTTTATTCATCATTGCTCTTTAGCATTGCATACATAATACACTTTAAACAAGGTTTTTTTTTTTTTTTTTTTTTTTTTTTTTTTTTTTAACTTATTTGGAGTTCACATAAGAACTAACTACTAATGTGGGATCAATATTATGAGACTCTTTTGAAAAATATCATATTTTTGAAATAGTCAATGTTGAGTATTGTTAATTAATCTAGTGACACTTATGTTAACAAGTCAATATAGTATTGTTGACTGATCGTAAAATAACGTGTCATGCAATAAGCTCCACTAACAACAATAAGCTTCCGTAACAACACACACCAACCTTTTGACCCAAGAATGGCAATGCAAGTAAAAAAGGACCCTCTTCATTTCTTTTCCTTTTTATCTTTTCATTTCTTAAACTTTCTTAAAAAAATTAATTAAATCAAATTGATACATATTTTAGGATGAATTATATTTATACTACTTTTGTAATAGAAGAAATGGAGAGAAAAAAAAATAGAAAAGATCCTAACTCCAAACATTTTGAGTTTTGTGTCGTAGTTCATTTGAATTAGTAGCAAGACTCTACCTTGTGCAATAAACAGTGCCTCTCTTCCTACGTGTGCATTGTCGCTTGGGACCGCTGCATCACATTTAAAAAATAATATAATCTTTAAATTTAGAATAAATTTATTTTTGTCTTTTAAATTTAAAATTGTTATTTTTAATCTTTATAATTTTAAAAAATTATTTTAGTACATCAACTCATTAATAAATATATGAAATTAACAAATTGAAACAATTATACAATATTAATTAGATTTAATATAATTTTTTTACTAATAAAAATATCATTAAGTAGATTTTATAAGACAGTATGTATGTCTCACAAGGCTTGTTATACAATAAGTAAAAAAAAAAAGTGTCATCAAAGCCTGTTGTATGACACATCATGTTACAATCGACTCTAGTAACATTATATCGACGTTACTTCTCTTGCTTTTTAGTCATTTTAATGAAAATAAAAGAAAAAACTCATGTAATATAAATGTCACTGAGATGAGTTATAATTAATGACACTTGACATTGATTACACTAAAGATGTAATATGTTTTGAACCAACTCCATATTAATAATTAGTTTTCATGAAAACTACAAATGGGTCAAAAAAAAAAAAACGACCCTTCAATCAAGATAGAGAGGATAGAACATAGAAGCATTTTTCAAAGCCACATATGAGTAAAGGAAATATGAGTCAGGATGACGCCAATAATAATCACTTTGAAGCATATGTCGGCAAGTCATCCTGACACAAATATACTCTCTCTACCTTCATGCAAGAAGACTCTTGCTACATTCATGCAAGACTCTTGAGAGCAAACTACATTCAGCTTTTCTCCAACACTCACATTTCACTTGTGTAATCTTGAGCCTCATCGAGTCCAATTTATAATTAAGCATATATAGAAGGTAGATCAAAGTCAAAGGATGACATTAGTAATAGCTAGGCACATGTTAACATTAAAGTTAAATATGAAAAAATTGTTGCAAGTTGGAAACTACAAAACATAGCCCCACATAAGCATTCTTATAGTTGGGAATCAAGCAAAAGTTGACTTCCTGATACTGTGTGCGTTGATTAATTTACTGTTGTGGGAATAGAATAGCTAGAGAGTAGTAGTGGCTGCCCCATGTTTGTGATTTGGCATTGTCAATGAGAATTTGTTCTCACAAATTTTAGGTAATCAGTTACGTTTTGACTTTGATTTGTTTCCGTATCAGTCTGGGTATAGAGTTTGACATTCCTTTGATATATATCATAGCTCTTTTATGCACGTATCATTCTCATATATAGTCATAATTTTATGGTTGACAAGTATTTGATTACTTATAAGTAATATTTGAAGAGTTAATCATTTATGCATTGTCAGTGTAAAGTTTTTTTTATACTGATAATTAA